ATCTAAGCTTGTTGTTGTTTACTTGAATCCTCCATTGATGTTTAGGACTGTTCTATATTTGAAGAGGTTACGAGTTTACGTAATCTGCGAACGGAACGAAAACTCAGTGATACATTGAACAAATCAACTAACTATTACGATTCATCCAAGCCCCACTAACTAGAGAGAGAAGTCTAAGTTCAGAAAAAGGAAGTATATTCGTCAAGCAGCTAAAAGCATGAACAACAACAATAAGCACAACTCAAGCGTTTATATACAACCTAAAATGTCCTTCGGAAGCATACTAAAAGAGACAGCGAACTGATAGCATTTAAGATTCTCACAAGTGGGAAATAAAACATGAAGGTGAAAATGAGCGCTTTTGGCACGAATACAATAAATCCAAATTTTTAAAATAGAATTACGAAAATAAGGTATTTACTAAGTGAGTCCTGGGGATCTAACATCCCCAAAAGACTACAATTGATCAGTTCGTTATCGGCATATGTGCATACTGTGCGGATTGTCTCGATATTGTTTTAAGTTACAAGCATTCTAAGCTAGCGGTGAAATCCAGGACGCGCGTTTCATCCCATTTGGTACTCGTCAGCCGGATGTGCCTGCACCCCGCAACTGTTGTTCACTCCGGGACTCAAAAAATCAGTACCATTCGCTTTAAATGCCATCCCGTTGTCCACTTAACTACTGAGTCCTGATAGCCACTTTCTTGTGTAATGGGGTGAAATTTGAATTTACTTAGTGTTGTTTTACTTGTATCTTCTCATTGATGTTTAGAACTGCAGTTGATCAGTCTCTTGTTGGCATTTTGTTATCTCAGTAGCTGAGTGGACAACGTAATGGTGTTTCAAATGAACGGCACTGGGTTCGAGTACCCCAGAGTGAACATCAACTCTTAGATGAAGGTACATCCAGTTGATGAGTCCCAACTTGAACAAAACGCGCGTCCTGGACTCCACTGCTAGTCACTATCCATCTTTGTTTAAAATACTTGTGACTTAAGTTTATATCGAGGTAATCCGCACATGATGTGCATATGTCAATGAGGGATTGATCAGTTGAAGTCCTAAACATCAATGAGAAGATTCAAGTAACATCATGGGAATTTAATGACGTACAAGTTTATATATTACATAATCGACATTTATGTTGGTAAAGGAAAATAGTGTTATGACGTAAGAACATGTGATCGAGTGAATGAGTAAGTGAGATAGAGAGAGTGTGTGAGTGAGTGAGTGAATGAGTAAGTGAGATAGAGAGAGTGTGTGAGTGAGTGAGTGAATGAGTGAGTGAGTGAATGAGTGAGTGAGTGAGTGAGTGAGTGAGTGAGTGAGTGAGTGAGTGAGTGAGTGAGTGAGTGAGTGAGTGAGTGAGTGAGTGAGTGAGTGAGTGAGTGAGTGAGTGAGTGAGTGAGTGAGTGAGTGAGTGAGTGAGTGAGTGAGTGAGTGAGTGAGTGAGTGAGTGAGTGAGTGAGTGAGTGAGTGAGTGAGTGAGTGGGAAAAGACAAGGCAAAACAGGAGAGTATGGAAGTGAAGATTTATAATAAAATAAACACAATTACATACCTTAATCTACATGACTTATTCTTTTTCCTCTTTTTTTTCTTTTTTTCGTTTTTTTTATAAAAAAAAACATTGATTTGTAAACAAAAAGATAAAAGGCCACTTTGTAACCGACCAATTATTCTATATTGTATCATGTCAATAAATAAAAGTCATAATAAATAGTAAATCATGTCCTTGATAAACTACATATATGTATGGATACTATCATGGCCCCCCCTCTCTCTATCTACAAATTGTCAGCTGATAAACAACCTCGCAACAACAACAACAAAAACTGTTTATCTTTGTTTAACTGAAGTCAATAAATGAAAATTGTATGCTAAGTCTTTTTTTAAAAAAAAAAGAAAAAAAAAGAGGAAACAATATTGTGTACCATCAAAATGAATTGTCTTTTTCTACGTAATAATGAATTGAAGAGAAAAAAAAATTATTGATTAGTTCATTTCATTTATGAAATTATATAAAGATTATTGTAATCAATGATGGATAGTGGCTGGCGATGGAATCCTCAATGGGAAGATACAAGCCAAACAATACCAAGTGAATTGAAATTCACCCCATTGCACAAGAAAGTGGCTATCAGAACTCAGTAGGTGAGTGGATAGTGCGATTGCGTTTGAAGAGAATGGTATTGGGTTCGAGTACCCCATAGTGAACATCAACTCTGTGAGATGCATGTACATCCAGCTGACGAGTCCCGAATGGGATGAAACGCGCGTCCTGGATTCCACTACTAGCCACTATCCATCACTGTTTATAAAAAGCTTGTGAATTAAGACCATATCGAGGAATACGCACAGTATGCACATATGCCAATAACAGACTGATCAATTGTAGTCTTAAACTTCAATGGGAAGATACAAGCCAAACAATATCAAGTAAATTATATAAAGATTGTTGTTAATTAATATTAGTATAATTTATGATTGTATGGATAAGAGATTATGAATGTGCATTGTTCAAAATATTCCCGATCCGGATAACTCAGTGGTAATCTTGTTTTTTAATCTGTTTATGTTTACTTCTCATTCCTAAACCAGTGTATTCTTTGGTCTTCCACTTTTCTGTTTCTCTTCAAAATTCCAAGTTAGGGCTTGCCTTGTGATGTAGTTTGATGACTTCCACAATGTATGACCTATCCAAACTCCATCCGGAACTCCTCTAGGGCTACTGTCAGTAGGTTGGGGAATACTAGTCAGCGGCCTATGCTCCACTGGGGGTAACAGACATAAGTAAGTAAGGATGGAGGTATGTCCTATCAAAATCCAACATCGTTTCCTAATTTCGTCTTCAGATGAAAGTTGATTTGTTCTCTCCTACAGTAATATGTTGTTGATCGTATCTGATCAACGAATAATGAGTATCTTCTATAGACAATTGTTTATAAATACTTGTACTTGTTTGATGATGGTTGTAATAATTCTGAAAGCTTCAGCTCCATACAGTAGAATTGTCTTCATTGTTGAACTCCATGAATAATAAATTCTAACTAGAACCTCAAGAAGTCGAGAAATTATAAATATAATTTCATCGTAAATCTAACGTAAATACACACCATAGTACTGACAAAGTTGTTGAATTTAAGATTTTATTTATATAATATGTAATCGGATCTGTAATTATCAATGTTCTAACTGTCTTATACTTTAAAGAATTCGTTAGAGATTTCAGTGGTTGAGATCATGAATCAATTGAAGCTAGATCACCATGGAAAACCTGGAAGCATTGGAGAACCGTTTCGTCGTACTATGGGACTCCTCAACAGTATGCATCCATGATCCCGCCTCGTGAGATTCGAACCCAGCACCTATCAGTCTCATGTGCGATCGAGTGCTAGACCATTAGACCACTGATACAGCTGGTATCCAGTGGTGTTAATGTCTAACTTCAACTAATCCACGAAATTCAGTGACACATCCACCATTATCATCAGTGAATTACTATCTATCTCACAACAGACCTGGTTCAACTCCATATATGCTCTATATATGTAATTAACACTTCTCTATAAGCAATAATACTTTTTTATTACTGATATGCCTAACCCAGCGTGTTTATTAATCATTATATTGTGACAATATGACTCTATTTGTAAATTACCATATTCAATAATTAGTTCCCATTATACTATACAATACTACAAGTTGACTCATTGGAATATAATACCCCCGTTTTTATGATTAGATACATATGACTTCTATCATTTCTATGTATCATTCTAGTTGGTCTAAATAATGAACACAATTGGAATATACGAAAACTATGATTAAATATAAGAATTCCATGTAACCTTTTTGTGATTTATTCTATTATCATAGAAGATATCAACTATATATATATATATATGTTGTGAGAACGAGGATTTTAAGTAGGTTTTTTTACAGCTAATAGTTGAATTCATGAATGAATGTAGGTTAGACCACCATGTAAAACCTAAAAGTACTAGATAGCTGTTTCATTCTTCTCATTAATATGCATTTACGATCATGTACATGGGACTCGAACCTAGGATTTTCAGTCTCTACTATTAAACGAGATTGAGCTATATTGTTTAGCTTGTCATATGAAACTATAGATAGTGTCCAGTTCTCTTGAAAATCAATGTCAAATTATCTTAATCTATATGGATATATTATATCTTATCATTGTTTAGAATAAACTTTAATCACCATCCTCAATATTTATGTTAAATCAAGGTTTCGACCTAGTAGGTATTCGTTATTAATGATTTACCAGTAATCTATAGTGATATAAATTTCCCAATATTATAGTTAGAAACATTCATTCAAAGTTTTAAAAAAAAGTCAATTGTCTTTCAAATAGTAACATTATTACAACACCCCCCACCCTTTCCCCTTCTCCCTAAGTGTACACTATTATTATTACCATGACTGAGTTCATTATTTTTCATCTATTCAATATGTTGTTAATTAAATATATCCATAGATGAACATTAATGCATAGAAAAATTAACATTGTATTTATCACCCCTTAAACTTAACCATACATGACAGATATCTTAAGAACACACATAGATACCTAAAGATACCTAAAGATACCTATAGATACTTATGGATACTTATGGATACCTATAGATACCTAAAGATACCTATAGATACTTATGGATACTTATGGATACCTATAGATACCTAAAGATACCTTTATCCATATTGTTTAGAGTTAATTTTACCATTTTACTATTAAACAAAGAGAAAATTGTCAAAAATCTGATATGTTCACTTCCTGTCGGTAGCCACCCATTATTCAATCTAAGTATAGATATAGATATTCTCATGAATAATTTATTGGTTAATAATAAAAACAACAGTCAATATTATTTAGTTATATTCATTGAATAAAAGTTAATTACCGACATTAATATAGAAAAGGTAAATGATACTGCTGCTGCTGCTGCTGCTGCTGCTGCTGCTGCTGCTGATGATGATGATGATGATGATGATGATGATGATGATGATGATGATGATGATGATGATGATGATGATGATGATGATGATGATGATGATGATGATGATGATGATGATGATGATGATGATGATGATGATGATGATGATGATGATGATGATGATGATGATGATGATGATGATGATGATGATGATGATGATGATGATGATGATGATGATGATGATGATGATGATGATGATGATGATGATGATGATGATGATGATGATGATGATGATGATGATGATGATGATGATGATGATGATGATGATGATGATGATGATGATGATGATGATGATGATGATGATGATGATGATGATGATGATGATGATGATGATGATGATGATGATGATGATGATGATGATGATGATGATGATGATGATGATGATGATGATGATGATGATGATGATGATGATGATGATGATGATGATGATGATGATGATGATGATGATGATGATGATGATGATGATGATGATGATGATGATGATGATGATGATGATGATGATGATGATGATGATGATGATGATAAAAAAGAGAAAAGAATGAAATTACAACAGTAATTTAGTTGAACAGAGATTCATTAGTGACGGTCTCCAAGACGTATTTCATAAAGTTCTAGTAAGAAGAAGTGACCAATGAAGTCTGTTATGAGATAGCAATTCACTGAAGACAATGATGAACGTGTCATTGAAGCTCGTGAATTAGTTGATATTAGACATTAACACTGTTGGATGCCGGTCGGCCGGCTCAGTGGTCTAATGGTTAAGCGTTCGCTCGCACGTGAGACTAATAGGTGCTAGGTTCAAATCTCGTCAGGCAGGATCATGAATACGCACTGTTGAAGAGTCTCACAATGGGATCAAACGGTCATCCAGTGCTTCCAGGTTTTCCATGGTGATCTAGCTTCAATTGACTGATGATTTCAACTACTAAATTTACTATAATAACCACAAAATGCCTTTTGATAGTAATTTAAATATTCACGTACAATGATTTACTTTAATGGAAAAAAGATTACTACTATGGTAAAACTTATTTTTGGTAATTTATAACCTGTTAAATAATAAGTAAACTGAAGATAGTAAATATTGTAACCAATAACTGAACATGAATGATCTGTTGTGGAAGTAAAGGTGAGGATTGACAAAGTAAGGACAGGATTCCTACAGTTGAAAAAGATATGGAACTCAAAACAACTATCTGTAAGCCAAAATCAAAGTCAATACGAACGTCAAGACAGTTCTAGTGTATTAACCTGAAATTTGGATAACAACTACACAACCATCATCAAGAGTATACAAGTATTTATAAACAATTATCTACACAAGATACTCAATGTCCGTTGACTGGATACCATTAGCAAACCAGCTTCCAAATGAAGAGGAAATTAGGAAAAGATATTGGAGGTGAATAGGACATACATCAAGGAAATCATCAAACTGCATCACGAGGCAAGTTCTAACACGAAATTCTGAAAAGAAACGTAAAAGTGGAAAGCTAAAGAACACACTGAATAGAGAATTGGAAGCAGGTATGAAAAGAAGGAATTGCAATTGGAAAGAACTGGAAAGGATTACCCAGGATAGAGTTCGATGGAGAATGTTTATGGACGGCGTATACTCCTCCATGAGAGATAGCTGGTGTAAATAAGTAATTATTGAATAGTTTTAATGTACAAATCTACATTCATAGTTTATTGAATATTATTAGATTTAGATTTCGACATTAACCTCTTGAGAAAATCATCAACTCTACCAATTTGTAATCATTTCAAGATTTTAACTATCCAGGCTAATTCAACGGCAATGTATAGATACTTTTATATGAAAATTGAGAGTACATTCAACATAGAAACATTTATTTCATATGTAAATGTTTGAACTTTCTTATCGTTGAATGTAAACACTGTAAATGATCAGTAAGAGTTCAGATATACTGATAATTGTACTTACGCTTATTATTCCGTGTGGAGGAGCATAGGCTGCCCAACAGCATTCTCCATCCAACCCTGTCCCAATCAATCATGTCCAGTTCTTTTCAGTTGTTATTTATCCTTCCCATGTCTACTTCCGATTCCCAAAGCAGTGTGTTCTTCGGTCTTCTTCTTTTCCGCTTCCTTCACGACTCCAAGTTAGGTCTTTCCTCGTAATGCAGTTTGGTGATTTCTGTAATGAATGTAATATCCACTTCCATCGTCTTTTCCTCATTTCCGCTTCATCTGGAAGCTGGTTTGTCCTCTACCACAGTAGGTTGTTGATGATGGTATCCAAACAATGAATATTGAGTATCTTGCGTCGACGACTGTTTATAAATACTTGTACATTTTTGATTATTGTTGTATTAGTTCTCCAAGTTTCAGTTCCGTACAGTAGAATTAACTGTATTGACTTTCGTATTGAAGACTCTCACTTTGATATTGACTAGCAGACAGTTGTTTTGAATTCCATATGTTGTTCAACTGTAGGAATGCTGTGCTTCCTTTGCCAATCCTCGTCTATCAGTCTGCATCGGATCCTCCTTCTTCGTCGATGATGCTTCTCAGGTATATGAAGGATTCCACATCATTCAGAGTTTCTCCATCAAATGTGATTGGCTTGGTGTTCTCCATGTTGTATTTGAGGATCTCGTTTTTCCTTTGTGAGATGCACATATACTAATGAAGACTGATTATTTATAGCCGTTAGTCTCAACGACCGGTGGACTCAACTCCTTATATATACATATATATATATATAAGGAGTTGAGTCCACCGGTCGTTGATACTAACGGCTACTTACTTAATAATTACTGAATAATTTAGTTGTTATCCGTTCTCAGTGACTCAATTGGTCCCAGTTTCAGTAAAAATATCGATACATTTCAAACTGAACAAGTCAAAACATGAAATAATAAGTCAGTTTTTAAATAGAAATATCATTGTAACTTTTGATGATTGTAAAGAGAGTTACTGTATACTTGAGGTTTAGACAACTTAAGTTATTCACTTGGTATTGTTTGTTTGTATCTTCCCATTGATGTTTAGCACTAATTGACCATTCGCTTATTGGTATATATGCATCCTGTGCGTATTGCCTCGATCTTGCCTTAATTCACAAGCATTTAAAGTAAAGATGGATAGTGGTTAGAAATGGAATTCGGGACTCGCGTTTCGTCCTAAAATCCAGGTACATCCAACTGACGAGTCCCAAATAGGACGAAACGCGCATCCTGAATTCCACTACTAGCCACAAATGGATATTCTCAGTAAAAAATTTCTTCTACACTGCTTTATAAAAGTTTCAATGATATCTAAGTGGCTTCATGTTGTTCTACATAAATTGTAGTTTTTACTAGTTTAAAGTTTAGAAATCAGTTACTAGCTATCAACATAGGGCTTGATACAAATATACCCCAGTTGGTATTCCTCATATTGTTATAGAGTAAGACAATTAGAAGATTTTTTGTCAGTATGTGATTTTCTAAATTAGAAAGAAATGTTAAATTACCATTGAATCTTTGAAATCCTAAATGGCCGTTTAACCCTAGTAAGGGATTCTTCAACAATGTGCATTCATGAACTTTCACATAGGACTGGAACCGGAGACCTTCAGTCCTATACATGGACGCTTAAACTTCAGATCTTAACATTCAATATCCATGGTTCGATTCCCGGATATGCGTGGCGGTTCAGGTTTTCCAGCTTCTCAATAGTGGTCTAATTTAGATTGTTTCAAGATTTAAATCAAATATAATCATCACAATAATTGAAGATAATAAGACAAATTGAATAAAACTGATTTATGAAATATAAAGAGGAAATGTAGATGGTGAATCATTTTGTGTGTTTGTGTGTGGGTGTGTGGTTTAACTAAAATAATTATATTCCAATTAAGTTAAACTAATCAATTGTTATGAGTTTATTCCCTATAGGAATTAATTATCTCTAGTGAATAAACATAAGCTGCCCACCTGTACTATCCATCCAACCTTGTCCTGAACAAATCATTACCAGTTGTTTCCAGTTGTTATTGATCGTTTTCATATCTGCTAGTAGTTCTCAATGCAATGTGTTCTTCAGTTTTCCTTGAAACCGATAACTTACTTGCTTAATTACTCCTGTTACTCCCAATGCAGCATTCTCCAACCCGATTTAGATGGTGGTTGGAGGTAGTCAACAGGAAACCCTGGACACGGGTTTCGTGCTACTTGGCACTCGTCAGCAAGGTGTACCTGTAATCTTGAGGAACTGGTGCTCCCTGGCGGATTCGATCTCGTGTCACCCAGCTTCACAGTCAGAGACGTTACCACTGAACTATCCGAGCCATGACAAACCTCCTATAGGACTGAGATGTAATCACAATTGATTGATCACTGGGTGGTGATCAATGTCATGCTTGTCTAGTCCTTATTAGTGCTGATAGTTTCTGGGTAGACGGATCCGAAGTATTTTGATTAGGGAACTGTTAATAAACACTTGTATCTTGTGGATGATGGATTTCGTAGTTCTGCAAGTTTCCACTCCATACAGTAGAACTGTCTTGACATTTGTATTGAAAATTCTGACTTTGATGTTGGCTTATGGACATTTGTGTTTGGGTTACAAATGATCTTCAATTGTAGATATGCTGCTCCGCCTGAAAACCCCTGGGGCTACTACCGGTTCCAAGCTCGAATAAAGGAAGAGGGTTGAGCATGGTGTTAACGACCCCAACTCATAGTAAATCAACTCGCTAAAGAAATGCTTACCAGAAAAAATAATTCAAACCGTTTAACGATACAAGTAAATTAGTCATTAATCTAAATTTTAAAACTTAACAACATAATTATATTCAATTGGACATCGAATTTGAAAAGTTAATGGTTGAGGTTATCAAATGATGAATACCGAAAAAATTAAAAGGTATGATGCAACTCCAGTTTTTCGAATACGCTTCTGTTTGTTTATTGATTACGTTGATTAAATGTTACAATATTTTATTGAAATCATGAACCGACCAATGTTAGGTCACAACTAAGAACCTATGAACACTGAACGGCTTTCCTTTCCCAGTATGAGACTCCTCAGCTGTACACATCCACCACCCTGCATGCGAATTCGTACTGCAAAAGTTCGGTCTCTTCGTCAAACATTTGACTTCTAGACTACTGAGCTGACATCCAACGGTCTTATTGTCTAACTTCTGTATTGTTGAATATACGGTTGTCATGGTCTAAAAACTAACAAGTAGCTTTATAATGATCAGTCATCCTACTTAGTGACCATATTGCAGATTAGACAAAGTAGACTCGTATTTTGGACTCATCAGCTGGATGTACCTGAATCCTAGAGTTGATGTTCACTCTGGGACTCAAAGATAGTACCGTTTGTTTCAAACACCATTATGCTATCCACTACTAGCCACTATTCATGTTTGCTTCGAATATTGGTGAATTAAGGTAATATAGCGACAATCCGAGAAGTATGCACATATGCCAAAAAGCGACATCAATAGGAAGATTCATATAAACAATACTAAGTGAATGATTTAATTTGTCAGTGTATATTTCATGCAAATGATATGGAATAA